ATATATAAATATACATTCAATGAGCAGAATTTTGCTGAATGTTTCATAATTTCTAATTATGAGACAATATATTTCAATCATGAGTTAATAATCAAACATTAGTAAGACTTACTAATTCGATTTAAATGAAGGTGAGACTTAGCCAATTTAGGAAAATAGAAGGCAGGGTCATTATTTTGAGGTAACCACCTGACCAAGGTTAGAGTAAGGGATGCTGTGTTCCGGGTACTAGGGAGTACTATTCACAAACTATGGTGTAAATGTCACATCTTGACATGTGCAAGACACAACCTCCACAGTGGCCTATGGCATTCATGGTGTCTACAATATAAAACCTTTATTAGAATGGCTAGTATTAAAAAGTCCAAAAATAATAGATACTGGCATGGATGCAGAGAGAAACTAACTCTTATATATTGTTGGTGAGACTGAAAATTAGTACATCCACCATGGAAAAGGGTATGGAGATGTCTCAAAGAAGTAAAAGTAGGCTTACCCACTACAGGGTATTTACCCCAAAGAAAAAAGTTATTTTATCAAAAGATACCTGAACTCAAATGTTTATTGTATCATAATTCATAATTGCAAAGATGTGGAAACCTGAGCACCCATCAATTTGATAGCCTGACCGAGCTGATTGGAGAAACTGCCACAGACCTGCTTCTGTGTCTCTGTCCTGGAGGTGTTCAGGAAGCAGTGTGCAGAGAAGCCAGCAGGTTGGCGGGTAGGCAGAGGGGCTGTAGGAGGCTCTAGTAGCTGGAGGGCCCAACAACTGCTGGGGGGACACCTTCAGGTTGCCAGGTCAGGGAGAGCCACTGGTGTCTCTGCCCTCCCCTCAGCTCTTTCCACTGAGCAGAGAACCCCCCATTTCACAGGTCTGGTTAATTTCATTAAGTTTCCTAGGCCTGTGAACACACTGACATCTTGCTCAGAACTGTCAGGAGTGTATCCACTTATATGTCAAGATATTCATTAACCTCATCCCAATGGAAGGCACTGTATCTGATACAGGACATAGGGCGCCTCAGCCAGTTCAGTGGAGCTGAGCTGGAGCACCTGCTGCCTCCGCCTTAGCGGGGTTGGTGCGGGGCAGCCAGCAGAGGCACCAGCAGACTGGAGGACAGGCAAGAGAGGGAGAGCTCCCACCCCCAGGGAAGGCTCCAGTAGCCAAAGGGGTCGGACGCTGGCGCCTTGGTGTCTCCTTCCCTTTGCACTTATGACTGAATAGGAACCCCCAAATCCTATGCCTACATCAATTTCATGTAAGTTTCCTAGGCCTCAATTCCGTGAATGGACTGTGTCCATTCATTAACCTTGCAGATGAGACTGTGTTCATTGATTAATATATTGAGTCACCTTGCCCTGGCCTCACATAGAAGGAACCCATGCACCTATATATACCCCTAGACAGAGCCCGTGGAGAGAGACAGAGAGAGATTTTCTCTCCCAACTTGGGCTTTCTCTCCCTGCATGGAGCACTGGTGTTTTTGTATTTTTTTCTGTAAATAAATCCTATCTTACCACTGACCTGTGTTCTGCAAATTTACTCTTCAAATCACAGAGACCAGAACCTGAAACTCCAGTATCATATTTGGTGAGCCAGCCAGGAGAGAAGATGAAATTCCGGCATCATCTCCACTAATTTGTTAGGCTATATATGGATATATACCCAAAACAAAGGACCCAGGCAGAGGGGAGATTTTTCAGACTGATTTTTCTCTCTACCAGAAGCTCTGATGCTTTTCCTGTATTCTTTTCTGTAAAATAAATCCTGTCTTACCACTGATCTGTGGTCTGTGGATTCATTCCTTGAATCCCCGAGACAAAGGACCCACTGAAGAAGAAATTCAGGTAACAGTAGTGTATAAATACCACAGAATGAATAGTACTTGGCCATGAAAAAAGATGACCTAATGCCTTTTGCAACAATTTGGATGGCACTGGAGGCCATGATGATAAGTGAAGTCTCTCAAAAGTGGAAAAACAAACACCACATGTTCTTACTCTCATGCTAGAACTAACCAAGGAGCACACAACTGCTTAGATAGGGAAGTAAAACTTAACAGAAATCAGATAGAGCAAAGGGGGGAAGGGAGAATAGGGTACAATGAATACTAGCTGATTGGTGGGCACACTTATAACCACGACTCAAGCATTATAAATAATCCATGTAAATAAAAATATTTGTGTCCCTATAATACTTTGAATTTTTTTTAAGTAATAGTATAAAATATTATAATGGCAATATTTGTTTATCTCTTATAGAATGCACAGTATAAAAAGGGGACCACATTAACATTATTTAAATCATATATTAGTTTAGTATTTGATACCTTTTTTTCACTATCAAATAATTTGTTTTACAATCCTAAGCTGTATTTTTAAGAGAAATTAACAAATGCAAGGAAAACTAATACAGAATCTTCTCAAAGCCTCCCAAATGTAAAATTAGCTATGTTCAAATTAAAGATGTCTTCTTTACCTCATCTTCTACTTGTTGTGATAAGACTAGGGTGTCTGGAGACCAGCAGGCTGGGAGTAATTCTTTTGTCTTTAACAATTCATTTAAAGTGATGAAACTGTGTTGTTTTCCAATATCCTAAAGCATTCAGACATTTAACAAGAGGTTGTATGTTCTAAAGTTGGTAGTCTTGGATGATCACAACCCCTGGACAGAGAGCAAGTCTGGTGAATTTTGGATAAAATACAGGAGATGGAGGAAGGTAAAAAGTTCTATTATGGAAAGATATTCCATTTTGTGGAGGAAGATGTCTGGAATTCCAGAGTCCTTCCCTTCCCCAAGTTGGCCTTCTGTGTTCTTCCATAATGCCCTTCCTAGTCATAATTCATTACTTATGCTATCTGTAAATATTACTGTACAAATATGTTAGCATTCATAGCCATGTCAGTACTTTAGAAAGGAATCATGAACAGTGAGCCCAGAGTGTTGGTTGAACAAAATCCAGCATGTCTGGCGTATGAGTGAGCAGTTGATATACAGAGATGAGATCACAGAAATAGGGACAGGTCATCACACTGGCCAACGTACGATTTTCATTCTTCATCTGGGTCTGTGTCTATGGTACATCTTGACTATAGGCTATTGTTCCCCAAATGTGACCAGGATTGCTATTTTATCCCATTGTATCACTCCTAATGCCTTTTAGTTGGCCCATTCCATCAGTCACACTATCAAATATTTATTTTGCCAGACATGTGAAATGATGGCAATATGGTATTGACCAAGAGAGACACTGCCAACACTACCCTCAGTATATATATGTATATATGTGCATATTTCAATGGAGAAGATATAAATGAAATGATTACAAGTATCATGATGTCCAAGAGAGCAAGTGAGATGTATCATTCACATTTATAATAAAATTGGGTAACCTGGCCTATAAGAGTAGATCCAATATATATGTTCCAATGAAATACTATTTTGTGTTACATATTTTACATCAGAAAGTCATTCATAGATCTTTCTATTTACCATAACAATAAAATAAATTAAAGCCACTCATTGATATAGTGCCTAACAATTTTCTAAGTCCTTTATATGAATTACCCCATTTACTATGTATAATAACCATGACAGAGGTTGGTCAAGTATAATTACCTTCTTTTTAAAGATAAATAAGCTGAGGCTCTGAGAATTTAAATGACTTGTCTACAGTCATGAAATCAGTCAGCAGTACAAGCAGTTCTAGTCTGTTCTGGGCTAAATATCGTCAAATTCTTACTCAGTATGTAGCACTAGGCCTTTAGTTCGTAGGCAAAAGGAAGAGAAAACATAGCATAGCAATTCTTAAGAAAAACGAGATCTACTTAGGCAGATGAATAGGTGAGTACCAGACTATGAATTGTGCAGAAATTCTGTGTGCATATGAAGTTAAAGAAGAACAGTCAGCATGGTCTGCCATTATTCTGTAACCTTGCCTGGATAGAAATTAACTTTTAAACTGGACGTACAAAGACATGATACGGCTAGCTCTTAATGCATTTACATTCTGGAAATTCTGGATATTCTCTGATTTCTTTTTCTTTTCTCACTATTAAAAGTGCTGCCAACCAATTAAACTTACCCACCCTATCCTCTGAGTGTATTGCTTAATAGAAATCTACTGCTTCTACATTGTGTAGATTAATCTTACCTACTCTTTTTCTCTGCTGAAGACTCCACCAGACACTTTAGAAAACTTTACTCAGCACTCTCTTCTAATTACCTTATTCCCCACTGGAAGCCTGATGCCAAGATTTCTATTTGAACACCTTCTTCCTGGAATGCTAAATTGTCAACTTTTAGGAAAGCTTCACTTGTTCAGTATTCCTCTACTTCTTAGAAAATCAATAGAGAATTTCGCTTATGCTGGAACCCGGATTTGCTGCCTTACTAAGTGAGTCACATCCTCTGTTGCCTCCACTTAGTCCAGTTTATTTTTCTACCTTTTTCCTGAAGTCAACAAATGTCTGACTCTATTAAAATTCATTATGTTCATTGTGTTTTATAATGAGCCAGTAGCTGCTATATAGTCACATAAAAGTGCAGCTAATAGTTTAATGTATTGACTTCTTTTAAATATTACATATTTAATCTCTTTCCTCTTCCACTATACCTGCAAATTTTTTTTCTATTAGTTATAAACCGATAACCAGACATGTCAAGTAATTAAGACACAAGAAAAAAGTATACAAGTTCAGTTACATATTGATGTTTTTATGTTTGTCTTGTTCTTCGTGGCTGTGAACTGGTGCATGGCATATGACCTATTCAAGCTGAATACCACTGTCAAACCATCGCTATGTGACAACACGCCAGGTCCTGCACTAAATGTTGTTTTATAGCCTATATCATTTTAGCTTTGTGTCAACCTTATTATAAATAGATAATTAGTTTGCAATATAAATTTCCTTTTAAAAAGTCAGTGAATATCAAAGGCACACTTTAAAATACAAGCCAATGAGAAACATGTTTGTAAAAAGTGAAAAACACTTACGGGAACCAGGAATTTTTTAATTTCTTCCAGTGCATGACTCATACGTGAATAAGCTTCCCCAGGTGGAGCAAACACTTCAATTAATACGTGAAGTTCATCACTCAAGTGGGCATATTTGGCTTCCCCGCTCTTCCTTAGTTCTTCTTCCTGTGAAAGAGGTTATATTTAGAAACACAAATCCATTCATTTTGCATTGATTTCACATTTATGGAGAATATGACAAAAGGGCATAATTTAAGCAAATTTTCCGTAAGTAGAAAGAAACCCTCTGAGAAATAAAAGTCTGCTACAAGCCATTTAAAGATTTTAAAATCATTTTTGAGTGTTTGAATGATTAAGAGAAACCTGGCATGATCATCATCTACAACAGATTTTAATCAGATAAATGAAAACGCTAAACTCATGAAAATATATCACAGAAATGCTGTTAACTCTTTAATATTCACTACCGTATCCTGGGAGAAAAGAATTTTTATGTGTGTGTGTAATTTTCAGATAATAAGTGAAAGATTATGGCTGTGTTCTTTAAGCAAGCCAGAAGCCTCTAGCTACTTCCTGGGAAGTGAAAATGGTACTTGTTGGTGATACAAAGTGAACTAAAAATGCAAAACCAAGACTTGTCTCCCAATCTGTCTTCCCTCTGGCCCAGGTTATCATCCACCCACATCTTTTCTATCCTTTGCTGCCTCATTTTGGTCAAGAGGGGTAAATTAAAGGGATGGTGGTTTAATATTATATTATCATGATTCTGCATGAGCTATGTAGCTTCTGTCTAACCAACAATACATTTCTATTGGAAGATATTTTTTGTGGTACTCTGCCCAAGCCATTATTGAAGCCTGATTAATTCAGTGGTAGAGCAGAGAACATTAACATACGATACATATATTTTGTTCATGTGTGCTATGAGTTTTATACATATCACCTCTAATTCCATAATTAGTTTTCAGATAGTCATATATTTCCGATTAGGAAACTGAGATAAGAAGATTTAAGCAACTTCAGCAAAATTGAGATTCAAACTCAGCTCTATTTGAAACCAGATTTGCATTTTTTTCTTTTTTTAGAATTTCAAAGAAGTCACATTTGGTTAAAAAGTTATGATAAAAAACGCTATGTTTCACCTTTGCTTCCAACCGTTGTTAGTGAAACAACAGTAGTTATTTCACTAAATTTCAACTGATACGAATAAACAAGTAATTTTTGGTTTCACATAGAGATTAAATAGAAAAGTGACATGAATAGAATTAAAGTGGATAAACAAGGGCAAATTTGCTACTGATTTCATGTGAGTCTAACTCTCGCTAATGTGAGTGTTTGTCAGATTAGAAATGCCCAGATGCTCTAAACATGAAGGCTGCAGGAGAGAGATGAGAAGGTGGCCTTACCCAGATCCTCCCTTCCCCTACTTAAAGCTCTCTCAAACAGTCCCTTTCAGCCTGGGAATCCACTGGGACTTTGTACTTCAGGCTTTTTTTAGTGCCTAGTTTTCAGTTTGGGGAGAAAGAACACTTGACTTCACTTGACTACACCCATGAGGTATAGTAAACACTCGTTTGTCTGAGGGTACTGCTGAGATGCGAGCTGCTTGTTAACTCTGGGGCCAGCTGAGTTTGGACATAAGGACAGGGGTAGTTAAACCATAGGTCTCTCCACACTATTCCTTTCTCCTGACTTCCTATGTTGACTTCCAGCTGGTTATTTTTCTGTTACTCTCTCCTTACACCTGGAATTTCCTAAGGAATTTCAAATATTTTTCACGTCTATTAAACAGAGTGGCAATATCAAGTGGAAATATCACTTGAGTGATATTTCCTAGAGTGGCATGACCCGCTAATTATGGAACTCCAGAAAATAGAGAGAACATCAGTTAGTTATTCCTGCTGTCCATAGAAGAAACAATGGTGACCACCATTGGCTACTTGGAATGAACTTTTGGAATCACATCGTTCATAAGCTGTGTGTTTGAGAATTTTATAAATATTCAGTGCTTTTGATGAGGTGAGTCTAGCAGAAGAAATTGTTTCTATCATCTCAAGATAAGAATAGTAGCCACTTGCCTTTGCATTTTTGTAAGGAACATGCTATACTTTGTTCATGACATGATATAGACCATATATTTCTCCTTTGTGCTACCTCAGATGTTGGTGTTTTGACCCTCTAGATTCTCCTGTCAGGCCTCCCACCAACATCACCACCACGAGAAAAAATTCCTGAGAAAAAGAAACAATGACCAACTCATCAGCTTTTAAATACCTCTGTATACATCTAATATATGATAACATACATATGCGTAGTCTTTTTAAAATATTTAATTGGAGATGCAATCTTTACTACCATCTATTCAACTGATTGACCACGTTAATCAAACATTCATTACTCCACAAAGCAGGGGTTTGGGCCACTTGCTCACTTTCTAAGTATTTATTTTTTGGCTTATCTGTGGTGTCCAATATCATGAAAAGTATGCATAGACTTTTTCTTTTGCTAATCAGCTTTCCTTGGTGTTTTTGTGTTTAACGTGTGGTCCAAGACAACTCTTATTCTTCAAATGTGTGGCATAGAGAAAAAAAAAAGGTTGGACACCCTCTGAATAAATTATTTAACTAATGCCCAAGAAAGCCTGACTGTTCAGGCCCGTCTTGGTGGCTCTCTTGTGCACCCAACTGCCTTAGCTCTCACTACTTGTATTAAACAAGAGTCAGTGTTTGTTCCCAAACTTATTTATACTAGTTGTATTTGTTATTATATGTTTTGTTATGGTGTTTTATCATATTTGTTATATTTCCTCTTTCAACACAAGGACAAAATTGCCTAACTCCACATTTCTCAGAATGTATTCCTGTCTTTAAGGACACACGACTGCAATAGAAATAATAAAGGTGAAGGAAACCAAATTTTGGATGTGGAGTGTACAAGAATGTAGGAAGTATTTTTGCTGAAAAAAGTATACAAGGCATGAAGTTTTTTTTTTTAAGGAAAAGATAACTGTGTTCTAAGTAAACAGGCTAGATGCTTAAAAAATAATAAAAAAAAAAATTAAAAAGAGAAAAGAAAAGGAGAGGACCAAAACTTGAATGATATGAATTTTTTGAAGGTTTGTAAGAATGGAATTTTTTGTCGTGATAGGAAAACTGTAGAAGTTTTATAAAAAAGAAGTCTTATGTTGCCTAGTCAAAGCTGGCTATGGTTGAATGGTTTTTTTTTTTTTTTAAGTTTTTGTTTTGTTTTGTTTTCAAGTGAACTTTATATCAAAACTAGAGTTTGGTTTTCTCTCTTTTAAAACAACAAAGTTTTCTTTTCTTGCATTGTTGATTTGCTTCTGAAGTATCAAAGATTCTATTTTATCAGAAGAATGTGCTGTGCTTTTTGTGCTAACCTTTCTCACATCTTTTTATTATTTAAGAGAATCTAGTCCTTTCATTAAAGAACAAGCTAAGGGTTTTGTTTATTTGTTTTGTGTTTGCTTTTTTAACAGTTATGTTACCTCCTATATTTACTTTTTAAATCTTTTTTTATCATTATATGGTTAAGTGGATAACTAAGTATTGTTTTACAGTGACCTGAGTTCTGATTTCATGAAGTGAAATGTGTGAACTTTTGATATTTTTGACACCTTGACAAAATCAAATTTTAAATGAAGTCTTCTCCATCTGAAACTGATGTTGAGATTTCCCAGAGAACTCCTGGAAACTCTCAAAATTTGTTCTCCCACTTTGTAAACAGAGGATGCTAAACTAGTTAGGTTTATTTGATATGTTAAATGAATGGTTATCAAATAAGAGCTACTGAAACTACCTTATATTTATATGGGGAAAATTTTATTGCATCAGTAATTATATGAAGTTTCTAGAAATCTGCCCAAGGTCTTTGCTGTCTCTGATGTGTCCTGGAATAAATTTGTCAGTCATAATTCTATAGTTTAAATTTTGCATTCTACAGAATTCTATCACATTCCCTTGTCAATTATGTTAAAATTAACATCCATCAGATTTTTAACTATGGCCATTTTCATCTTTTTTGTCTTTCACAGATAGTTACTGCCTTACTCTGATGCTTTCCTGAAAGCTCCTACAATCAGTTACTAGAATGCTTTGTCTTCAATGAAAAAAGAGATCCCCTCTGAGATCCATGGAAAGAACTATTACAGAGATATAGGCTTCTTATGTCATTATGTAAATAATTTTAAGATCATCCCACTTCACAGAGTATGGATTTTCAGAACTCCAATGAAGAAGCTGAGGGGTTCATAAAACCCCTCATAAAATTAAGAATAAGTATTTTCAGTAGACTGATGAAGAATGATTGTAATTGTTATGGTCTTTGTTTGAAACACTGATGGTTCTTTAATATTCAATTTCCTGGATATAGGAAATCTTTTCCTCTTTTCTCAAGCTACCACTTCATAACAACTTAATAAATTACACTTTTATAAACAGAAGTGAAATACTTACCTTTTTACTCCCCACTGATCCCTCCATAATTTGGAAATATTTATTGAATATTTTTACTTTCATGGTAATGTATTTATTTGCATAAATTCAATGATAACCTGTCTTCCTTATAAGAGGACATAATTGGAAGAATTGATTACATAACCAAGACTTGATTGGAATGTCGCATTTGATAATGATGAACATAAAATCAGTTCTGATCAGACAGTTTTGAGGAACTTTATAAAGTCAATGTTTATAAAGCCCTTATGGGAAGTTATCCTAACACTTAGATTAAAGGGTTCCTAGTATTATGAGTAAGAAAGGTTACTTCCTAGCAGGCCTGAGAATCTTGAGAAAAGAGGAATTCACCAAAAATCTACAGGTACTTAGGTGAGAAAGGGTGGTGAGTTCTTTGCTTGATTTCCTCGCCTCGAGAAGACTTTTAGAAATCCCATCCGAGAATTTGAATGCAAAGTTCCAACAGAGAAAACTTAAAGAGACCTATGTGTTTTAACTTAGGTTATAATCAGACCAAATTAAATGAAACTAGACTTGTTTGGCCAGCAAGAGTCGTCCTTGATTATCATTTATCAAAAATGAGGTTGACTGTAGAGAGAAATTTTATGTTTTAGTGAAAAACTATGACCCACCTTTATGGGTTATCAGATTCTAGTCCTGTTGATTGTCTGTGAGTTATTTTTATCTCTTTGC